CTGGGGGGCGGCTGGGATGTGCCGGGGGATGCAGGCTGTGCAGCAGCCACAGGCAGCTTCCCTGCCGCAAGGCAGCCAGTGCACCGCTGCCGCTTCGCTGCACGGACGGACAGACTTGTGTCCACGCACGGACGTTAACGTGTCCGACTTACCACCCTCAATCGTTCCGAGATCGATCCTGATGACAGCTCCCAGGCCAGTCGCTCCTCCTGACCACGCCAGCCGACTGCCAAGGAATAAAACGCACCAAACCCTCGACATCCTCCGATCCGGTACAGCTGCTCACCGAGCTTACAGGAGTGTGCGGGCTTCGATGGACAGAGAGAGACAACGAGCTGGAAACAGTTCCCAAACCGCACGTCGGGGGCTAAACGCTGCACTCACACTAGAGGAAAGTGAGCAGTGCTCCATGCAAGTCCAGCAGAGCTACGCTCACCAAAACACAGCCTGAATACAAGAATCACTCCCCAAAATTCAGACATCTATGGACATCGCAGAGCAATGACGTCAGGACGCGGCCGCATCCTGCACCACCCGCCCCTGGTCGGTACCCAAGCAGGGCACTCAGCCTTCCTCTTCTGCAAGCACCAGAGCTGCTCGTGAGCCTGAAACCCACTGTAGAGAAAGGGCTGGAGCTGCCTGATGGAGAGCATGGCCCGATGGATCTCAGGGCCACCCCGGGCCCTGGCCGTAGGAGCAGCAGGAGAGCTCAGGGCTGTTGGTCGTGGCACGAGGTGTGACGAGCCTTTCCGCGGGCTGTCGACACAGCTCCACCGGTCTGCTCCAGCTTGGTCTCCCACTTCTCGCTTGCACCGGCGAGAAATGACGTGAGCTGCTGCACCTCACCATGATGGGGACTCCGGCAGGGAAGGGCCCTGCCATCACCTCGCCCAGAGCATCCCAGAGGTTGCGCGAGCTTTGCACTGACCTTCTGGAGAGAGGCAAGAAACAGCCTGTATATAAACCCCGGCCGAGAAAGAGGAAAAGACAAAAGAATTAAAGGGCTGGGTAATTACTGTGGTGTAAGCTAATCCCCGAGTGTTTCCGACATCTGCCAATACAAATAATTTCACTACTACATTTGCAAGTCTGCGTAAGTCCTCAAGCCTCGAGTACCAGGCAAGTGCTCCCGGCAGGTTGAAGCCAGCGCTCTTGCTCAGCGCCCGGTAAGAGCCAACAGAGACTTGCACATCAGGTCTGAAAGAAGAACCTGATCTGTTTAATTACATAGTACAGACAGAAATGGGGGTGAGGAGAAGCCTAAGACATGTAATGGTAAATTCTGCTTTTGGAGACACCTGTGTATCGGTGACTTTTGGGATGCGTGGCTCTCGCTCCTCAAAGGTTCATGGAGCTTGTGCAAACACCGGAGGAGGACATGGGATCAGCCGGTGGATAACCAGTGGAAACTGTGATAATCTCAGTAATATTCTTACCGATTTCAGCAGGGTTGGACAGAGGCTGAGAAGAACTGTCACCTGCCCAGAGAACAGGCTTCTCAGCCCCAACCTGTCCCCATCCCACCACGGGAGAGCCATGTGTCCCACCAGACTGCGGACAGGCGGCACGAAGCTCTCCTCTGGGCTGGCCACGCTGCTGCCATCGCTGTGGCTGCCCACGCACCAGCCCTGCCTGAGCTGGGGCTAGTGGCCACCACCGTGTCCTCACCCGGCCCCTCCCAGGCACCCCACCCAGCAGGACCTGGCTCTGGGAATTCACTCCAGTGGGGTTCTGCAGCACCCAGTAATTTATTTCTTCACTTAATTTCTGTATAAAACATGTCACGAGGCTGAATCTGTCCTTACCTCCCTCCCAGTGATGTACTTGGTGGCTCTCCGCTAAGCCAGACAGGGAGATTTACATCTTACCTAACAGGAGTGTAAGATTTATAGATAACTCCCAATAAGGAACGCATCATGCCAGAAAGACGCTTTTGTGCTAGTAACTTGATCAGTCATTATGCTAGAAGTTGACATCTCATTAAGCCTCCACAGGGATCACTGGGTTAAGAACAGCTCTTCAGGAGGAAAAAAATCCACCTCTAAGCACGAAGGTGCCATCTCGTCCTGGCAGCTTATCCCCAGACCCTTGCACTGCTGGAAATGATAACAACTCTCCACAGATAAATCTCCAGTGCTGCTTCCGAAAGAGCTGCCGATATTACCAACTCTGGAACAAGGGATAGCAGGGGCAAATTTCCAACCACTGCTCTAAAACACAGCAAGGACTTATTTCTCAGAGACTTTTCTAGGCTGTGTCCATGTCCCTGCCAAAGTCAGATGCCACAAAACGTCTCCCGTGGCCCCAGGGGACTCATCTGCAGGTTACAACCTTCTCAATGGATTTACTTCTCTGAACACATTTCTTGCCTCTAAACGGGCTGCGTACATCAGCGTAGAAGTGTAAATCCTGCTGTCCCTTGGTAGGCTGCTAGACATGTATTTTCACATTTTCTCTTGACACTGCTATCTGGATACCTTCAATGGAAATGCACAATGTGGCAGAAACTCCGCTTTTCCTGGCATTTCTCTGTCCTGCTGAGAAGGAAAGCAGCACGGCGCTGGGGAGAGCCAAAGGCTTTGAACGTGTCAGGATGGACCTGGAACCAGCACCCCATAACTCACTTCACCACTGCACAAAGGACAATGGTTGCCTCCCCAGGCACCAGGTGTTTCAACAAGCGCTGAACACCGTATCCCATTGCCAAGGGATTCAGACCAAAATGGGCAATCCAACCCTTTCTGGAAGAGTGGTCATGCCTCAAAGCCGAGATCACAAATATCGGAGGGGGGGGGCGGGGAGTCAGAACACGAAGGAGAGCCGGGTGAGACCACGGAGGATGCACTTACCCGGCGTTCGCAGGTAGTCCACGCTTTGTCCTCCAGGCCAAAAAGAAGCCAGGAGAGCATGGTGGACCCCAAGCACAGGAAGGAGAGGGACCCTGACTCCCTTCTGCGAATGCTTTCACTGCTTGTAGAGACACCATCAAAGAGGGTGGACATCACCCACCATTTCTTCTACCGGTTGTAATAAATATTGCCAGTGGCTTTTGATTGGGAATGGGTTAAAGAGAGGAAGGAATTCTTGCACGTGGGCCACTCTGGAGGTTAGAGGAGATACCTTAAAAAAAGCCCTGAGCTTCTGTCCGGTCTAAAACTCACTGAACCCAACAGAAACACTCCTGTTGCCTCCAACAGACTTTCCCAGGCCTGATGGAAACAGAGGACATCCTTGACAAATTGCCAAGATCTCCTTCAGCGCGACACGTGCAGGTCTCATCCCTTCTGGTCTGAGTTGCCCAGCCAGGAGAGCGACACAAACCACGGCAGCTTCATGCTGGTGTGGATGTGGTGGCGGCTGCACCTGTGGTGTTCGGAAGAAAGTATGGCTGCAGAGCAAAGAAACCAATGTTCGCTTTCTAACAATGTTTGATTTCTGGGCACCCTCCACCCAGAGACCTTTCTTTGTGCTCCTCTAACACCACGATGAAGGCGAGCTGCCCCAGCACCTGCTGTTCAATATTTCACCTCGCTAGGTCAACGGCCAGTGTAATCAAGTATACGGGGAAACAATAAAAAAAGTATATAAAACAAAGCGTCCACCCAATGTCCTGGTTTCCAGCCCTCTCTGCCAATTTCTGCCCCATCGGCCTTGGGGGTGAGGACATATAAAGCCAGCACAGTTCCTTGGTGTGGCCACAGCAAGACACGGACTGAGTTAGAAGAATGGGCAGTCTGGCCAGGAAAGGTAAAGATGCATTTGCAAACTGAATAGCTTGATCTGGGCATTGCTTGTACTTACTTTGGTGGGTCTCTGTAAAGGTCAATTCTCATCACAAGTTCACTTTCTGCAAAGACTGATACAAACATGTCTGTTTTCTGCAGGTTAAACTTTCTGAATTACTTGTTTTCTTAATATTGTAAGAGTATTACAAACATTATAAACGATTCCCAAATGTTTTTCAGAGAGGCAGATAACACTTTCACCTTTTTATTTGATTTTAGCCTCCTCCATAACTTCCATTTGTTCCTCAGTTAATTTTATCTCCTGTTTATCTGCTGGTTTTACACCAGTTGTAGCCCACTCCGTGCTCTCCAGCAGGCAGGGTATTGCTCAAGCACCGCTCTCGCTTACGGACTTCCCGGGGGTTTTCAAGGCTGAGCCTTCGGGTGGTGCTTTTAAATCCCCAGGCACCACATGAGAGCTATGTGCTGTTATTGCACAAAAGCTGACAAGCTCGGGACCACAAACCCAACGCGGGAGCAGGTCTGTGGCTCCCAAGGGTGGCTCCGTGCCTCGGTGGCCGGGTCAGAGCCGTGCCTGTCTGACCGGGCTGCTGCGGGTGCCCTTCTCCTCCAGGCGCCGGCACGGCGAAGCTCCGCACCCTGAGCATCCTCCTGAGCCTCCTGGTCCCCTCTCATACAGCCAGGTCACCCGACTGCGGGGGCATCCTCACCCCATCAGGACTGAGCTACTGTAAGTCCGGACCCCGTATCTCCCACGCCGTCAGCAGGGAGGGGGGGCAGCAGCATCCTTCGGTCCAGTGACAAAATACCAAACACTGTCACCAGAAACTTAGGCCATTGGTCAGCTCACTGTCATCGTCCCCTTTCTATAGTAACCGGGGGGTTAGTAAGGGATGGAAGCGCGTCACCTGGACTGATTTGAGGCTGTCCATCTCTGTGCATCACACCACAAGCTCCAGAGGGTCTCATAAAACATCTGCCTTATTTCACAGTTGCTGAAGTTTCAAAGCCACACGCGGAGGCAGTCCTCAGGCAGGACCTGATGGCCCCACCAGTCTCAGACCTGTTTCCCAGCTCCCCCAAGCCCCAAAGGTGAGTTCACGCCTCTGCCTTGCCCGGCCTCTGCTGCCGTACCGCTGGTTCATGCCGGTGTTTCGCTGGAGCGCTTTGAATGTCGTCACAAAAGGCGCTTTTCCAGCGAGGGCAAAAATCCTCCTGGAGACCAACACAGCCGTTTGCCAGAGCAGTTTAGAAACAAGCTCCCAGCTCCTCCTTTGGGGTCTAAGAGCAGCAGCCCCAGTGCCACCCCCGGGGAACTGACTTGCCCATGCAGATCTCATGGACTTTTGAGGTCTGCCCACCGTGAGCGCAGCCAGGGGCTGCAGATCCGTCTGTGCTGGTCTCCCGACACCTTCATTTCTGCTCCAGCAGGAACCAAATTAACTCCGTCAAAGTCACCGAGCTGTCTCTGTCGCTCATCCCTGACACCGGGCTGCGGCTGAGCATCGACGTGGACCTCGGCATCACACCTGCCCCGTGAGTGCTGGGGCCGCAGGGTTGGAAGCAGCCCGAGCTCCTGGCCGGAGAGACGGGGTCGCATCCAGCGCCTGCGGGAGCAGGGGGGGCCGGGGCGAGCGGCACCAGGAGCAGCCCCTGCGCTCCAGCCTCTGCCTCTCCTCCCCTGGCACAGCTCGACCACCAAGGTGATGAAACTGTCCATCCTGGCCGACCTCCACGTGGAGATGAACCCCGAAGGGAACCTGGAGCTGGTGAGCTCTGCCTGCAAACCCACCGTGGAGGAGGTGCAGAGCACCGAGGAGATGGAAAGGTCGAGCCTGCGGTTTTCCTTGTTATGGGACCTGGGTAACGGGGGAGAAGAAGAAACTGAGGCACAAGCATTTCTAGGCAGGAAGGTGATATGACTGAGGTCTGCTCACTGCTCTAAGAGCGTACAAAGGTTAACACGAAAACTATCCTCATGGGAAGATGCAACCCTTCATCTGCTTGCAGGGTTGGTTCCCCCCTTTTAAGAGAGATTCATTCACTCATAAGGGAGCGGATCTTTTAAAGGAGCGCAACAGGAACATTTTTAATGCAAGTCTAATGGCAAGTCTTCAGCATTTTAGGATTCTGAATTGTAATTGTAGCTTAACAGATGATAGAAAATAGTGCTAATACTGTCTCTGGATGCCTTTTGGGTCAGATAAAAGACGCTCACCTACCCTTGGCTGAGCTGGTTCTTGCCTAACATCTTCCGTTCTGTTGTTTTCATCCAGCAAGTCCTCTAGTTCAGAGGCGGACAAGGAGATTAACGTCGGTAAGGTAAGATTAGTGCCACGGTCTAGTTCACATGGTGGTGTTAGGGCAAGGTTGGACTCGGTGATCCCAGAGGTCTCTGCCAACCAAATCGGTTCCGTGACTCTGTAATAAAGTTTGTCAAGGCATGAGCCAGGAGAAACAGAGCTGTACAGTTCTGTAAGAATTAAAGCACTTTAAGTCAACTTGGTGCCCCCCCAGCCCCCCACAGCCCCACACGCAGGGCTAGGAGCAGCAGCCCCGTGGTCACCAAACGTTGCCGCGCTCCATCTCCCGGCTGCCGCCCGGCCAGATAACAGGGACACCTGCATCAGAGACAATCGGGGGACGCCTGAGGCCAGCAGACCCTCACGTTCATCTACCGCCTCTCTTTTTGTTCTTTATTCCATAGATTTGCCTGGAAGTCTCCAAATTGCTGCTTTTGCCAAATGAACAGCTGATATCTCTGACAGGTGAGCATTTAGGCTTTCAGTCCCGTTATGGACTAAGGGCTTCAGGGCTCATTTTGGAACAGGTCACGAGATGGGACAGGCTCCCATCCTGCAGCAGAAGCCTAGTGGGAGCAGCTCCATCATCGCCCGGGGGATCCGCTCCCTCTGCCTGGCTCTCTTTCCCAGTCTCTTTACACGGGAAACCCAGACGCGTCCCAGCCCCAACCTGCCGGCACTGCTCCCCTCCTCTTTCTGAGCATCCCTCTGCTTGGTTTGCAGCTCAGTTCCCCATCACGCCGAGCTGCCAGGTCCAGTACCTGCCCCTGGCTGCACCCATGTTCTCTGATCAGGGAATCATCATATCCTTGCAGGTAAGTCCTCGCTTTCCAACCCTCATAGACCGGCTTTGGGAGAGCTGCCTCCTCCCAGTGCTACATGCCCTAAGACACCTCAAACTCCTTTTCTCCTTGCCCACATCCCTGCAGACAA